ATTTTACAGTATTTTCACTGAAGGGATGATTCCGAGAAAATAAAATCCAGCGAATATACTTTTTTTCCTATATTTCACATTAAAATCAGTGAAAATAAATTCCATACAAAACACCCAAAAAGCCTTTTCAGCGAAAATTTATTCCAGCGAAAATAAAGTATTTCACAGTATTTAATCTTGTTTAAATTCTCAGGCAAGGTTTTAATAGTTATGCTATGTTTTTGGAAATGTTTGACCGAAACCTTTAGCAGATAGGAAATTATCTCTTGTAATCCCCAAAAAACTATAATACATAAAATGTGATGATTGTATAATGCTTCAACAAAACTAATATTTAGCTCGACTTACTTGGATAAAATTTACAAACCTGCCTCGAGGTCACAGTAACCTAATTTTTTTATGAAATTAAATCATGCTTGCGTATATGTATTTAAATAAATGAAATAGGTCAGCTAATACTCACCTGGGGTTCATTCAACGTATCAGTATGGTTGTTACTAACTAGCTGTCTGAAATGTAACATTATTTCATAATCAATCTTATTTCTTAATTATTTATATTATTATTCCTTTTGTAGGAGCCGACTGTTAGGGATCTCATTACATTCGGTTTACAGGCCGCGGAGGGAATGAAATATTTATCTTCGTTAAAATTTGTGCATAGAGATTTAGCAGCTAGAAATTGTATGCTTGACGATGAACTGAATGTCATGGTGGCTGACTTTGGATTATCTCGAGATATTTATGAACAGGAATATTACAGTGCAAAAGACAAGCATACTAAATTACCTGTCAGATGGATGTCACTGGAATCACTAGAACGAAATATTTATAATACAAAAACAGATGTGGTAAGTATATATAGCAACATCCCCCTCTAGTGTAACAAATGCCCTCTAGAGTCACTTTTGTGCATATTTGTAGTAATGTTGTAATAGTGTGACAAGATTTTAGGATATGAAAAGATAATTTCAAAATGTGCAAAATGTACTATATTTCTCATGACATTTTAACCTGTCATAAAATAATTGTAAAATTTACCTGATAGCGTTATTATTTTTTTGGCCCATTTTCTGTATCAAAATGAAATGATATAGTCTTGAAATCAATCATAACCCTTCAAGCTCCATCATTTTTTTTTTACATATTGTATATTTTTATGTATTTTTTATTAATTTTTGACCAGGTTGAGATAAATTTTCCATTGGATACAGCTCTTGATCAAAAGTTTTTGAACAAAAATAATATGGATTTATTTTATGAAAGTAGACAATTTCTGTCAACATTAAATAGATATGTTGTGTTTGTATAATAATAATACCAATATATTTCAGTGGTCATTTGGTGTTGTCATATGGGAACTGATGACCCGTGGTGTGACACCGTATCCATCCGTAGATAATTGGGACATAGCAAAATATTTAAGGAAAGGGAAGAGGTTAATGAAACCACAGTACTGTTCAGATGAATTGTAAGTACATCTACTATCCAGTCCATTTACTGTTAAACATGTTGAAAAAGTGACATTGTGGTAAAATGAAATAATAGCGAAATGTTAATTTAGCGAATCTCTCTTGTCTTTGTTGATTTCCTGTTTTCATAGTACTTGTCTGTCAGCTGCCAAAACAAAGTTATCGCCTGCATAAAAACAAAGAAAAGCTGTCAAGTGTAATAAGGAAGTGCTCCAGATTATTACGTTTTCTGTGTTGTTTACAAAGTGTGTGTGTGGAGAAAAAGGCGTTGTTTGGCCGCCATTTTGAATTTATAATGAAGTCATTAGCGACATCTTAAATTAGCGAATTATTTCTCTCGCTAAAAAGACGTGCTCGCGAAAAAGACATGTTTTACAGTATATCATTTCAGACATTGGATTTCTTCATAAAATATGCACTTTTCTGGAGCTACGTCTCTTCAGGTTTTACACCACTAATTAGATTTCCATAGCTGCCAGTGGTAGTGTTTGGGTGAATTTCTCTAAAAAAACAGGTTTCAAAGATACAACTAATGTTCTGATTTGCTGAAAACAATGTGTATCGGTATGTAATGAAATTTTGGCCAGAAATCAAAAATTCCCCATTTCAAACTCCTACATTGTACAAAATGGATATCAATTAACAAACACACACTTTTGTCAGCTTTTGTATCTTCAATATTCTCAGAAAAAAAAGTAAGTTTTTAAGTGTTTAATCAACAGTTGCCAACATCCACAGGCCACGCATACTTATCTTCGCATATGAGTCTGTCAACTGAAGTGAAGTACACCCTCACATATTGCGTTTAGGATGAAGCTTGGATAAAAAACAGCCATATGATTCGAGAGCTATGAATTCTGGTTGGCTAATCAGTGGTATTAGACCTTGACGTGTCGTCTGCTGACGTCGTTATATACCATTCATATCGGCTTTACATGGAGACTTTCGCCATGCGTTCTATCATGGTCTGACTTGTAGTCATTCTTGTTGTGGGAATATAGTCCACAAATCATATTAAATTCGTCAGTGGAGACTGGAGATAATGATGAAGATTTTGACTTTGATCGTGTTCCAACAGACTCTAATATATTTAATCTTGTAAATTTGGGTGGTACATAATTAATATTGTAATAAAATGTGCATATTTTTTGTGACCATTTCTGTTTCTTCATTATAAAAGTCAATGATGATGCAACTAATTTTGTAATTTCATTTCCCCCCAAAGATGTAATATCCCCTCAATCTGTCACATGATGAATTCAAATTGTCATTTGCACTCTTTTCCAAGTGGGATGCTCGGGTTAGCGCCCATCCCTAAAAAATCATGATTTTCTGAGTTGAGGACACTGGGCGCTAACGCGGTCCACTACGGTACTAGTACTTTCCCGGCTGACATGAAGCAAACAAAACTTGCAAAATCACTGTACCATATTTTCTCTATTAGAAACACATCTATAGAAAGGTGCATACACCAAAGTTTGCATTTATAGTACTAGTATATAGATTATTAATATATAATTTATTTTGACCATCAACACACTTCTGACAGTTTTATGTAAGTGTATACGCTACTAATACATAAAATACAGTATATGTACTGTAAATGCAATAATTATTCACTGAGTTTTTATTTCGCTATTTTCACTGATAAGTAAAAATTTTTTAAATTAAATCTATGTGAACGTGTAAAATAAAAATAAAACTCATTCATTTTTTCCATTGAAATTAAAACATAGTGAATGTGCTCAAAATAGTCAAATTAAATGTCAGTGAAAATAAATGTTTTTACAGTATGTTAAGTCGGCTATTTATTCCTTTTTTCCAGGTATGACATTATGTTAGATTGTTGGTCAATCGAGCCTGAAAAACGACCAACTTTTTCTGATTTGGTGTACCAGTTAAAAAAGCTGCTGGCGTCTTTTGGGAACTCTAAATTTCTGGATCAAGAAGCTGTTTATGTAAATGTGCCAAGGAGCGACTCTTACACAAAAGCTACCAGAGGAACACCATCAACTTTGACCCCATCCACCCCTTCATTGTCATCGCCAGAGTTGCCTGAAGCCAAATATATGAACACTTAATAAGTCAAGTTGTAAGTCAGAGGCCGCTTTGTATGTATGTTTCATGAAATATTGTTGTCGTGACAGCAAGGATTGCTAAGAAACCCATTAGAGTCATGATTGGTACCAGTATAATTTAACATCTTGCTCGACAATCAACGATTTTGATAGATATGTCTACTCCATTGTTCATCAAGAGCCGTTTTTGTGACATTGACATTGACAATGATTCTGCCACCAGGCAATTATTAAGTGGAACTGACATTCAGGATCATGGAGGATTTTCAGACAAAAATTGTTGTAATAGGTTTTCAAGAGCTGCTTTTTTTTTATTAGCATTTTCATAGGCATTATAATACTATATCTATGTATGGTATTTAATGATCCCATGCAGATGTTTCCTGTGTTGGTGAAATAAAGACTCATTAATTAACCCCAAAAAAACATGTTTTTCAGCCCAATGCAGAGACAGTTGATAGAAGTGATTTATTAATTGCCAGTAAACTACATGAATGTATACCAAATACCGTAAAATCAGTATTAGAAGCCACATCCCTTATAGAAGCCCACCCATTCTTTTTGAATAATTGAGACCCAAAAATTCATCATTTCTCATATGTGTAGACGCTCTAATAGAAGCCGCATCCCCTCTGTTGCATTGTACCATTTTAATAGAAGCCGCGGCTTTTAATACAGATTTTACAGTACTCATCAATGGATGACTTTAGCTTGATGTGAAAATTGGTTTCATGCCTATTTTTTTTTTTGTACTGGTTTTGCCTTCTGCATTTATGGCAGAATCCAGGATTGACGATGTTCTGCGTGGACAGATTTGAGAGAGAACGAGAAAAACAAAACAAGCTGCTTGGTCGCGCATTCCTTACCTAACCAAATAGTGGTTGATCTGTATGGATGGTACAGCATATAGCGTTAATATTTCACTTTCAATACTTTGCCCAAATTTGGTAGTTCATGATGTCAACATGAACTGAATTTCACTAAAAATAAACTCCTGAAACCTGACATTTTACTTCAGCTTTTACAAATTTTCAGGAGTTGCATTAGCGTTCATTTGGAGTGCCAACAATTGTTATTTTTACTTGGCGAAATAAAAAATTATATATATTTTCCCCTATTTCGCAAACCAAATGCAGTCTATGATACTGTTTTTACCTTGCTCGTACCATCAAAGATGGAAGGGAAAGGTATATTAAGGGGAAAATTTTGTCCGGCGCTGTCGTCGTCGTCGTTAATAATTGTTATTGTGTGCATAATAACTTTACTAATTCTATTCCAAACTTTATCAAACTTGGTCACCTTATTCATCAGTATAAAGTCTTCCCTGAGTTTGAACAACAGATGTCCTGTATGAAAATATCATGCGAAAATTGAGAAAATCTTATAAAATATTTTGACTGTTTCTACTTGACCGATCACTGGTGATACACATCAAAGGTCACTGATCTCAGTGGAAATATGCATTGTTGTATGTGTTCAATGAAGCAAATGATTTATCTTGTAATAATATCCTTGGTAATGTATCTCAGAATCCCATACTGGGTTTCAAAACCAACTCATGGAGAGATTGCACAGTCTGATACACATTTGCAAACCTACGAATAAAATCTTTACAGAAAACAAGATGTCAGAAAATCAATATAAGCACTCCTATGAAC